TAGACCTAGCAATTGGTTAGAAGACCCTGTTGAACTAAATCGTGACTATGCCCCAGATTACCTGTTGGGAAGCCCTCTTAAAAGACGACACACGTTATCAATGGATGAAAAGCAAATAATCAGATCCCAGGAAACCACCTCGGTGAGCCATGTAGTTATGGGGCAAATCAGTGACTAGCGTTACAATTAAGAAAGGTCACTACTTTCTAATTAATAATGAATGATAGAAAGAAAGTATCGTGAAACTTACGCGTCATGAAGCTGATCGAGCAACGTCCTAAACACTTGTATCTGAAAAGATAAATAAGAAAGAAATTTTTACAAATATATACAAGCACGATAATATGGAAAAACTCAGGTGGCAAAACACAACAAATATATGGGAGAGTTAGGGAATGAGATGTTATCAATCCACCAATGAATCATTCCTATTTTAAACGGACTTCGTCGGCTCTTCTATTAAACTCATATTTTCACGTTTCAGTAACCACTAGGGTTCAAGTGCTGCTCCACTTAAAGCAGTGAATCTTTGGGGGTTGTAAAAAGCCGTCTGTTGAAAGGTATAGAATCTTTTTGAAAATGATGGCTTTTTCCTCAAGGAAAGATTGGGTTCATGCACTGTAAATGAAGGTGGATGCCTAAAGTAACCGATTCTGGGATGCATATTTCTCCTATCTAATTCCCTTTTTCCTTTGGCCATAAAATAGTGTAGGCAAACATACACTCCCCAAAGTCCTAGCAGTAGCCTCGAATATTTCAGTACTTCTTATGTTGATTACAAGAACAATTTATGGAATAGCATTCGCATTTTAAGAGACCATTCACAGAAGCCTGATATAGTAGCTGAATATCCAGCTCGGTGTAAAGGGCAGTCCGTTATGGTCACTGTGGTTGGCTCGAACGATGTACTTTGAGATCGTCATAGAACTAGATGCTACAATTACAATCAACAGTAAGGCTAGGTAAGGTACTGAAGGAATAGTAGCTGAATTTTCCCATAATGATATGAGTAGAGTTGACTTTTTCATTGAATTTCACATACCCATCCTTTCCCAAAAGTTGTTATCATCCAGGGTGGACTGCAGTTTCGACCTCTTATCAACAACCCCAGCGAGAGTCGAAACATGGCAGTGCAGCGTGTAAGCTCGGCAAGTTTCCACAATGCCACGAGTGCCATTTGGTCACAGGGCATATGTGAATTTCAAAGAAAGCCATTTATAGCAAATATAAATTTGCTGCATCGAGACCCCAACCAAAGAATGTAATATGAGAAATGGCTAACCTTCTATCAAATTCACATCGGCCCTATGACCCAAGGGCAATAGTGGCAATGTGGTTGAGTGGCTAACGTGTCAAGCTCACATGCTGCACTGTGACGGTTCGACTCCCCCTAGGGGTGTTTATAAGACCTATGCGAGGTCGAAACTTCAGCCCACCCTGGATGAGAACAACTTTTGAGAAAGCAAGACTATATGAAATTCATTAGAAAATTCAGCCATACTTATATCATTGTGTAGAAAATTCAGCCGCCCGTCCTTCATCATATTAAACGAAATATAGGGAATACATCTCATATAAACAATGTAAGCCCAGAAATTGGCGTGGAATCACCAAATTCGACCAGAGATGCGTGCAGAGGAACAGGTTAAAAGCAGTCATACAATGCATAAGTTTACTTACTAGTTCTGGAATGACTAAATGCCATACAGAGGTTAGGTGGCAAGCGGAGAGGCGAGAAAGCAGTACTCGAGAGAACAGAAAGATCTGCGCATGAAGCGAGAAATTGAAACCATTTGTAGCTGAGTTGCTCAGACGAAGACTATCGGTAAGGCGCTCTAGATAAAATGATAAAAAGATAAAGATAAATAAAGCTAACAGTTAAAAGATTTAAAGTCTTATTTGAGGCCATTACGATAGCGACACCTAACTCATCAAACTGTAATAATAATTCGAAATGTAATGCAATACTTTCGCCCTAAGATACAAAATTTTCTGTTCATCCATCATTGATTTATAGGGTGAACAGTAAAAACATTGTCGAC